TTATTTAAACATATGGCTGATGTATGAGGACCAGACGGAATTATCCGGGGCCAGTCTCGTCCGATGTGAGTGGATGTGTGCTAAATCAGGCATCTCAGCATATGCCAGGCCTATGGGAATGTGCTCCATCGACAGTGATTGATCAGAGGGCACCAAAACAAGGCAATACATTTCCCTGTGGGGACAGATGTCGTCAACAGTGGACCAATGTCCTCAATGATATACTTACTTCTCCTAAGCTTTTAATCATGTTGAAAAGTTCATTCATCACAAACACCTCTGCAGTTTATGTGTCGCATATGATTGTCAGGAATATTATGCATTACATGATCCTGGTAGTAATCTCCTTCTACAGTGACATGTATTTAAGTCTATGCTCTTTTAGTGGTCAATTCATCCATACTGAGAAACAGTTTGAAAATGAATAGTTCATTTTCAAAAACAGACATTAAAAGAATATTTGAAAGGCTAACACTGCTATAAACGCTTAAATAAACTTTTGAGTGCATTCTGACTGTGTTAAAACAAGATTTTCCAATGGGACGAGGCCATTTCGTCTTGTGTCAAGGGAAACATTTCTTGTATCTTTTTAAAAATGAGATAATATTGCTTGTCCAATTGTCAAATGTTGTTTTAAGTCTGTCAAAATGTGCTCAAATTAAGTTACATTTTGGCAATTTGAATGATTTATGTCTTATTTTTTCCCCTTTTCCAAGTTTCCAGCTTCCCTTCTTGAGTAAATCATTTCAAATGTGAATGTGAAATAACATTTCAGCAAATAACACAACGTGTGGAAGATTGACTTTTGACACATTTTTTATAAATGTTTTCAAATATATCTCACTGAATATAGTAAAAATGATCTCGAAGCCCCAATATCTGTGGTTGTAAACGGTCTGCCTTTGAACAGGAGGTTACACAAGCCTTGGTGTGGCGCCACGCACTCCCTACACCTTCCAGCACTTTTATTTTCCTGTTGTTATTTAAGGACAGGGACGTGCTGTACACAAAAACACCACCGCTCATTAAGCCCCTACTGTCGCACACTCAACTTCCCATTGCGTCTATTCTTATAGTCAATACATAACGAGTTGTTTTGAGGTCCCAACTACCTTCTTGAATTTGATGCACAAAGAGGAATGCTGGAAATAACCTGTCAACATATAATGAATGTCTCTTTGGACATCAAGTTGACAGTGACAAACCGCTCCTTGTCCTCATCAGGCAGGAAGTCGTACCTAGCGATGGGCCAAAACACAGGAAGTTGATATCAGCGTGCCTGAAATTCCAGCATTGTTTTTGCCTGTACAGAGACAAAAGGCTTATGCATCACTCACGCTAAACTTGTCTAAAATATGAATGTGGTGGAGGTTGGAAAGACACTGCGACTTTGGTGGCAGATAAGCAGAACATACTGTACATGGAAGATGAAAAATAGCAGTTTCTAGTTAATTTCATTTATTGAGAGTTTTAGTGTCGTACATGTGCTAATACCGTACAGAGAAGCAAAAAAACACTGATCTAGGCCCATACCCCCTTTAACTCACATCAGCACAGAAGATTATCATTTTGGTTTACAACACATTTAAACAGGATATCATCAGTGTGTGAGGTTGGGTGTGTGTTTGTTTGTGTGTGTGTGTGAGTGTGTATGCCTATAGCAAGTGTGTGTGTGTGTCTGCCTGTAGTAAGTGTGTATATGTACAGTATGCCCATAGTAGGTGTGTGTGATAGTAAGTGTGTGTGTGTGTGACTGTAGTAAGGGTGTGTATGTATGCCCATAGTAAGTGTGTGTGTGTGTGACTGTAGTAAGTGTGTGTATGTATGCCCACAGTAGGTGTGTGTGTGACTGTAGTAAGGGTGTGAGTGTATATGCCTGCTGTTGTGTGCGTATGTGTGTGTGAGCTAGCTTGCGGAAAGATGAGATACTCGTTTCATCATATACAGTAAGTACAGAAACCAAATTTGAATGTTAAAGTTACATTGTAAAAGACAAACAAAAGAGTTACCTGGAAAATGTCCACAAGGCCTCATGTCTCCTCTGGGTCCCGTGGGGGTCTGGCTCTTGAACCTAATGGAGGTCTGGGGCCCCCTCTCTCCTCTGGGTCCTGTGTCGTCTCCTGCGGCTGCTCCTGGTGCAGATGGTTCCTCGAATGGCGCTTCTTCAGCTGGTATCATCTGCACCAGCCCTATCTTTTCATAGTTTTACCTATATTACCCATTTGTGTGTTTGTGTGCGTGTGTATATGCGTGTGTGTGTTTGTGTCATGGGCATGTGGGATTGTTGTTGCATTTGTATGAAAAGCACTTTATAAATAAGATGTGATTGATTGATTGAAAGGCAATCCTAGACCAAATTGTATTGCTTTGATCGTACTAGGATTACAGAAAAAATGCAAATACATTAAATTAAATAAATAAACAAAACTAAAACATTTCATTTCATTTTATTGAGAGCATCATTAGCTCCTGACTTATTGCAGGTGCTATTCTACCAGAGGTCTCCTTAATTTTCATAAAAAATGTTTACAATATTACATAACAAAAAAAAACAAAACAACGACACACACACACACACACACACACACACACACACACACACACACACACAAACACAAGACAAACCGTGGGGGCTCAATGTGAAACCAAATAAAATTACATAAAACAGCAATAATAACATTTTCATCATTATTATTATCCCGATTATTTAGGTAACTCTCTAACCACCTTAAGGCAGGCAACTGAAATCCATAACATTTCAACTTATTTAGTAAAATTATATGATCTAAAAGATCAAAAGCTGCATATAAAAATCCTGGGCCAACTAACTTTTTATTTTCAATTTCTTGTCACCAATGATCAATAATTTGCGTAAGTGCAATAGTTGTGGAGTGACCCTTTTTTATTTGCACGGTGATAAATTGTATTTAATCCCTGAGCTGTAAAATATTCCCCTATTTGGTCATATGCTACTTTTTCCATAATTCAAACTTAATTTAACCTGACATTGGTTCTTTGTTATTTTTAATTAAAGAGCCATCTTCTTCCATGGTGATGGAAAGATATTTTTCTTTAAACTTAAATTGATCATACAGGAAACAGGCAATGAAATGAAATCTACCACCATCTTTAATAGTCTGACCTCAATATTGTCACTACCAGAGGTTTTTTTGACTTCTTCCTCTGTCACATCAACAAATTTGAAAGTACATTTTTTGGTAGGTTCCAATTTATTATCTATCTGTAATTGTATCACTGTTAAGTGGATTTTCCTTAAAAATAGATATAGTTTAACATCACCAAACATTTTTTATGAGAGTAATTTTAAAATAAACATCACAGCCATAAATTATATACTTATTAAATATATTGCTCAAGATTTAGACATCCACCTGTAACCTGCAGAATGGCTCAGTCAGACATAACATTCTACATATTTACATTAAGCAACAGACTACAACATTAACAACACGCTCCTAAGACAGACACTGGAGTGCAAACATGCACGAGCTGAGCCAGCTGGCATTGTCAGCAGCCTCAACCTGCAGAAGGACTCTACCTGTACTGTACAAGCACAATATTTAACCCATTACACTGTTGATCAACAGATGATGATTTAGATAATGTATCTATAAATATTTAAATCATTAACAGTGTTTGTGTATATATTTAAACTTGTGTATCTATTTAACAGAAAAAAACTGAAAAAACAGCACACACTTCACAATGGCATTATTCATACACTCCATACATTGTGGCAATAAACTACTGCTGCAGCTACAGCTGCCCTGGGGCACAATGACAGAAGCCCCTTTGACCACCACCAAGCACTCACGCACACACCAGACACATCGTAGCCAGTGGACACAACAACAGTTTGGCACTTTGCAGCCATCACAATTCTAACCTGGCCCTGTCCTGCTTAGCATCAGCGGTCTGAGATAATCTTGCTTTAAAATAAATACATAAAAAAAGAATGCAGGTGGCATCACCAATATATAAAATCAAGCTTACTCATAAAGGAGACTGGAAGACCAAAAGAGACGCCTGCCACACTGACTCCTCCCCTTCTCTCCTCCTGCGCCTGAGCTCACCTCCTCCATCACCTCCTCAGTGGGTCTAGGCCCCAGGAGGTCTCAAGCTCATTGTTTCAAATAAAAACTCCCTCCTGCATACGTCATGCAGTATTCCTGCCAGGGTCTAATCGCCAAGCTTGATGAATATTTCATGTTCAAATGCAGTAACTGTATTAGTACTCAATCAATGAGTCTGCTGGGTTTTATTTTCTATTCTTAATTTCTAATCTTGACAACAAATATATTCTAATGCAATCTTTGCCTCAAGTCTATCCAGATTTTTATATATACATAGCACACTTCACAAAAACTACTTTCCATCCACTCCACACACAGTGATGACAGAAGCGAGAAGCACCATTATCTATTCATTCATCTGTTCATTCACTCATCACATACAAAACCTGTGCCCGTTCTTAGTGGCAGAGGAAACTGGAGCACATGGAGGATTCTTGTTTTGAAGCACAAGTGCTAATCACTTTTACCACCATGCCTCCCAAGAAACATTAAAACATAACTCAAAAGACATATTAAGAGAAATCTACTTTTTCCTTTAACCATGTTACATATTTCTTGTCAAACCAGACCTGGAGGTGTTTTTAGATCCATCCATGCTGATATCACCAAAATCAACTTGACAATATAATCAATTGAAAACAAAACTCCGCCCCTTCTGACTATAAACGTCTGCTTCCTGTCATCGCACCACCATGACATCACCATAAAACACTCAGTTCTATATTTAAAAAAAAATAAAAATGTTTTGGCATTTTTTTATAATCTTTATAATTGCATGGTTGTGCTTAAAGTCAGTATTTTTTTTCATTTGAAACCGAAAACAAAAACGAAACAAATAAAGCCTTCCCCCTGGTGGTAGCATCCAGATTTACAGGTGGAAAGCATTATTTACACTTCATTTTTGTATCACCATATCAGTGGATCAGGCTGAGTCCCTTTGGAGTGTGTGGGTGTATGGACAGTAGAGGGCTCCATGGATGTATCAGGGACAGGGAGCTGGCAGTAACCGGAGGCCTGTATGGCGCTCTCTGGTGGCTGAAAGCTGTTGCTGTGTTCGTGGTGCTCTGTGCTCGTGCTGCAAAGATCCGCGCGATCGAGACTGTGTGAGGCCTGATCAACATACACACGCTCTTGTCCCGGGAGCAGCACATATGAACCTTCAGAGAGGGTCCTCACTGAGGCGGGACGTCCCACATCCACTTCAGTCTGCTCCAAGCTGTCCTCCACTGGTGAGTGCTCCACAGCCTGAAATACCATAAAGGAAAACAAGACAAGTGGAATGATATAATTAGCCTATATTTAAAAGCTGGGTTACCAAACTTTCGAAACACATTTAACTTTTACCTGACTGAATTCCTGTACGGTCAAATAGCATTGATTTTATATAAGAAAAGTAGGTACCCCAGATCTAGGTGTCAGGGGGAAACCGATAACTTGATTAACTGTTCTATTTACAGACTCCCACTTGGTTAGGGTGCGGTCAGCTTAGTTTAAGACTCAAATAGAGCAGAAAATGTTTATTGAATAAAAAGATGAACAAATAAAATAATGATTCTTTTCAGCCCAAGTCTGAATGTAGACACTCAATTTGCAAAAACGACTAGGGGCTAAGTGCGCAGCGAAGTGGTGAGGTCAAGGCAGAATTCACACCTTTTTCTTCATGTGGCCCCCCTCCGAGCAGCGTATCTGTTCTGTATCTGGAGGCCGTTTCTCCACGCTTGTGTTTTCACCTTCCTAAAACACCGTCTTCTTGTAAATGAAAGGCTAATCCAATACCCAACTCTATCGTATTACTGTTCCAGCGTCCTTGTGTAATTGGCCTCTCAGATGGTGGGGCGGGGTGCAGGGGAAACATGCTTTATGATGGATTCTACATCCTCCGGCTCCACACTTTTCTGACCACTGGAGCCATTGCAGCCGCTTTGTTGTGACTTTCAGCAGTTGTATACTTTCGCCTCCTCCCCTCCAGCGGCCTCCGAAAGTTCAGGTCTAACTTCCAGTATTTTGGAAACTGTTACGGTGTGGACTTTTTGATTACTTTTCCTGGTTTTATTTGGATACATAGGTTCTTCAGTGTTGCTCATGTCTGTCAGTTGATGGCCTGTCCCGCCCTACTGTGTTTCATCTGTGTGTCCCTGTGTGTATTTAAACCCAGTGCTCCTCTCCCCTTGTTGTTGGTCTATTGTGTTTTTGTCCCTGTTTCATTCTGGTTTGAGTTTTAAGTTCTGTATCTGGGATTTTGTTTTTGTTTAAGCTTATATTTTGGCAGTCCTGCATTTTGGGTCCTTCCTCAATTTCAGAACGTGACAGAAACAGAATCTTCTGGTCATAGGACACCAAAAAAGGAAAAACTAAAATGCATCTATCGGGTGATAAACTTTCAGATGTGAACAAAAAGTATTTTGAAGTCACAATGAACCCTAGATTTGAACTTTTTTCTAAATATTTTATTGTGAATTCAATCAAATAAAATCAGATTCTCCTTGTTTCGTGTTTGCGTTAGTTCTGACCTGACACAAGATGTATGGTCCAGAGAAGCTCAACGAGGTTTTTTCCAGAGGTGGGACATGCAGCCTATCACAGCTCCAGAGGGCTTCAGCCACAGTCTTCTCTTTCTCTTCCCCCTCTTCCTCCCCAAAGTGAAAGGTACCAGGACTGAATATTTCTGTGGAGCTTCAAAACAAAACAAACTTCTAGGCCCAGGACATTCACAACATAAACATGCAAACTACATACTGTATGTATTCTTACATAATTATAAAAGTATATAAAAATACTAAATATAAAAAGGCTGTTTTGAATATTTCTGTGACTGCAATATATTAGAACAATTTCAGAAGCATGTAATTATTAATGATTTACTTACTAATGTATTAAAGTTTGTTAAACAGATCATTCATGATGAATTAAATAAAATGTTTAGTATATAGAGTTGAACATACCACGTCAACACACTATCCACCTCCAGAACTTTACAACCATTGACTTTATTATCATTTAGGCTCTGTAAAATACGAAAGCGCCGATGTCAGTCACGCACAGGCAATATAAAACAGTGAATATATTTTCACAACCACATCTGCATATTACTACTGCATTAGTCATAGTGCACAACAAAACAGAGCATATGTGAAGGCATTGTCTCATTCTCACTTAAACATTGTTATAGTCTTTAAATAAAGTTTATTTTGTATCGTTTCTCACCTTGAAGTCCAAGATGACTCTGCTTTTGCCTGGAGAAGGAACAGATTCCATCCAAACAAGAGCTTTCCTGTTGCATAAATCACATTGTGTTTGATGACTTACGTTTTCATTTAGTTAGATATACAGTACTTGACAGTTTACACTCCCAGCCAGAGATTTCATACTTGTGACTATATTTGGAATTATATTACCTGGTTTTAATTCATACTGCTGTGTTCCACCTGATTCTTGCTGGTATTTTTGTGTTACGATATCACAAAAATATTTTCCCACTCATTGCTAGTGGTTTATTAACACATTTTTTACAAAATTGAGTCGCTCGGGAGAGATCTCAATACAAAGTTTATGCAAGGCAGCTCAGGAATGTTCTGGAACTAGAGGATTTTTTGCCAAGAAGACTGAGAGTTACCATCAGATGATACAGAAGCTCATCCACAATGACCACAAAGCTGTTAGATGAAGATGTTAAAGGGGAAACACACTTATTATTTGAGTTTTGTAATTTAACTGTTTTTTGGAAATAAATTGCTTCACATGAGCATTAAAATGAAGGTCATATACTTTTCAAATTGTGAAGATGGAGAGATTTTTTTCTCACGCAAGCACAAGTTAGACCTGCCCCCACAGCTTCCTGATTGGATGCAAGGAAGCTGAGGCTCCTCACCATTGGTCAAACCATTCTCCTCTAGCAAATCTAACTTCAATTTGACAATTTTCTGTACTTTTTTATGTCTGTACTTTCTAATCTGTCCTTTTTATTCCTGTATTTAGTTTTATTTATATACTGTTTGATGCACACTGGGGACTTTTGCACATGTATTCCAATGTGGTTTTACTGCAAATGGCAAATAAAATTAATCTGAAATTTCTCAACAACAGATCAGAGAATCAAACAATACACACACACACACACACACACACACACACACACACACACACACACACACACACACACACACACACACACACACACACACACACACACACACACACACACACACACACACACACACACACACACACACACACACACACACACACACACACACACACACCTTCTGCAGACAGGGACGATGAAGAGCATGATGAAGACTCCCATTAGCACGGCGGCTACACTCACGTAGATCTGGTTGGAGGCGGGCCCCGGTGCTGGACAAATGTGTGTGAAAATTATCAATATTCAATTCAACTCAACTTAAACATACACACATACTGACAGACAAAACATCATGAACTAAAACAATTATGACTTTAAAAGACAGCTATATTGTCTCCACATCTTGGACTTACAATTATTTTCAATTATTATTAGTATTATGCACCTGGGTGTGACTTCCACCTGTAAGGAGGACTCCAGGTTGACGGTGGGCCCTGTAGAGGAGGGCGGACGTGGGACCGGATCGTGGCAGCGTATTTGTGAGAGGGCCGTAAGGACGAGGCCAGGATGGTGACCGAGGATGAGCCGCTGGGAATCCATATCCTTTTGTACTGTTACAAATGCATACAACAACTTTTATTCACATTTTGGAAAGGTTTGTCAATGTCAGCTTTATTTGTATATTATCTGTACAATAACACCAGCAGCCCTAAATGCGCACAAAAAATAGAAAATAAATTAAATTAAATTAAATGCAGGCAAATACATGTAACATAAAAACATTAAAATTCTATTGGCCAAGGCACAAACATATTCTTAGATTTGAAAACCTGGAAAGAAGGAGTTTTGAGATCAGGGTCAACAAAATCTGGTTTTCTGACCTCACAGATTTGACTGGAGCATTAAGAGATAACTGCTCTGTCAAATAGAAAAAACATTCAAACATAAAAAACAAAACAAAAAACTGAATGTTAAAATCAACCCTGAATGCGCTAGTCAAATTTAATTATGTAATAATCCATAAAAACGTCCTAAACATCAGAATCATCCCCAAAAAGCCCACATCAGTTGATCTCTACAATTGCATGGCTTGGTCTCGCACTGATTGCTAAAAACTCTGAGGAGCACAGGGTCTGGCCTTCTGCTGGTTCCCTGAATCACAGCTAAACATGCAGAGGCAGTGTTTCAGATTTTTCAAATTAAATCTTCAACTTATTTTTCTGAAAATGTGAGAAACGAAAGTCATGTCAAATGCCATGATAAACGTTATGTTTTAAAGCTGGAGTAGCTACTACTTCTTTTTGGTTCAAAACAAAGTACTTGTTATAACATTTTGTGAACAGAGGCAAACATTAAGTGATAAACCAACTGTTTTAGAGCCATAGATTGTATACATAGTTATATTTTGTAGTTTACCCCAGGGGCTAAAATAGAATAAAAGACAGACCTTTGAGCTCTCATTGCAGTACTTCTCCAGCTCCTCTTCCTCCTCCTCCAGGCTGTAGTAGCACACCTCATGGTCCAAACTTGAATAACGGATCTTTGCTGGGGTCCAGTCCAGTCTCCAGTTCTGTCCCACGGCCTCGCACACAGACACCCACGAGGGGGGGTCCGGGTGGACTGTGAAACACGCACCACTTTCACCCTTATATCACTAGATGGTGCTACAACACTGCAGTCGGATCAGGCTCTTATGTCTGATTTAGTTGTGCAATGGACAAGAGTATAATTAGAGCTGTGTTTCCCAACCAGAGGTACAGGGACCAATTCCTAATACAAACAATGGGCCTCATTTACAAACTGAATGAGACAAAAAACAAAAAAGTTGAGAATTTCTGTGTACAACTGAACATGTTTTTAATATTTGTTATTGATCTCAGGATTGTTCTGTATCCTATCCTAAATAAGACACATCTTTTGGACAAATGAGGCAACTAGAAAAAATAGTTTCAGTTCATAATAAAGCTTTCTTGGTTAGGAATTACAACAGTGATAGTGAAAATATTTGAATAAATAATTTAACTTTAGCTAATGATTCTACAGTTTTCAGAATATTTTATGTCACTTGTGCCTCAGTGGCTAAAGTAAACATTACAATTTAAAACGACCATGCTATATATATGTAAAACCTGACCTGAATATGACTATTAACACCAGTCCCTGTAAAATGCTGTGTTTCTTACCGTTTTTGGTGGAATCGAAAATCTTGATGCTGTGTTTTGGGACCAGCTCCACCTTCAGAGATGATGTCAGCGGTGATGTGTGTGATGTGAGGCTCAGGACGCAGCTGAACCCGACAGCAGCATCTGTGACCACCGCCTTCTCCTCCTCCTGACACGGCTCAGCTCTGTGGGCCAGACCAGAGCAGACCAGACCAGACCACATGAACCATGGATCAAAACTGTTGTAACTGATGCAAGGCCTACTTCCTTGTCAATGGGGTTGGAATGATTACGTTGTGCTTTCTGTCACAATTCCTAATCAATTTGGACAGTTGGTGTTGTAAATGTGCTATATAAATAAATACATGTAAATTCCCTAACACTTTTGTGGCAATATCCAGCAATTACAATGACTTACACACACGCACACACACGCGCACACGCACACGCACACGCACCCGCACACGTGCACACACACACACACACACCAAAATGCATGAAATCTGATTTGCATTGTTTCTGGATAATGCATATAATTTGCTTGATTCTTTCAAATACAGATTACTATTGAAAAAAAAAAACGTACAAACTTACAATGAAGAATAATAATAAAATAAATGTTCTTGACAGTGACTTGTGGATCTCTGAAAACCGCTCATTGCTGCAACCAATAAACCAGGACCAGGTTTGCAGACTGCCTGACCCGTAAAGGCCGCCACGTGTATGTCTCTGCTGCAGGGAATGCTTCATTTGTGATCTACGCAGGGACTTACAGGGCTGTGTCGTTGTGACGAGCGACCAGCTGATAGCTAATGAAGTGGACCGTCTCAATGCTCTGCTCCCATCTGCAGAGCACATCCTTCTCCCCCAACAGCACGCAGTCCACCGGGGGCTCTGTATCCACGTCTGTGCAACAAGCAGCAGTTCAGTGACAGTAAAAACATGGATCTATAATAAGACCTAATATTGTATACAAATCCAGGGCTCAAATAAGAACAGCGGATAGGGATGGGCTAAAGTAGATGAATATGCATTGTTTTATATGTAATATTATGGTAAAGTTAGGGAAGTTTATTTGTATAGCAAAATTAATACAAAAGGCGACTCAAAGTGAACAAAAAAAGATAGAGAAAATCACACAAGGCATTAAAATCATAAATAATCACCATACACTAAAAAGAGTAAAGATAAAATCCCTCAGTTGGATGCACAGCTCAACAGATCCGACTTCAACCTGGACCTGAACACCATCAGAGAAGAAGCCTGTCTCACATCTTCAGGAAGACTGTTCCACATCCTAGCTCCATCTCTAATTCTGACTCTGGCCACCAGCAGGAGGCCAGTCCCTGTGCTCCTCAGAGTACAATTTATATATCAATTAGTTTTCTTTAACATGATTATGAAATAAAATATCGATGATTTGCAATAGTCACAAACCCACACATTACAAATGGAAACATCAGCCTTTCCAACAATCAGAAAATTGAACCAATAATGTTGAATTGTTGTTATCTGAGGCTGACAATTAGGAAAAAGGCTAAAAGTCCTTTTTTTTTGTCTGAATAATATATGAGTAATGTATCAGTAAAGTCATGTGTATGGAGAGATGTAGACTCCGGAAGATTCTCAGCCCTAATTTGGATCAGTTTCATTCTCATTCTGATCTCGATACTTTGGCTTCCGATATCGGCCTGTATGAACCATTACCAGTGAAGGGACCTGAATTAGTATTTGTTTCCCCTCAAACCAAAGCTGATTTATTACACAATGGGTCACAGTGTGTTTTAGCTGCAATTTATCCTGCAAGTAACAAAAGAACTGAGAGAAAAACCATTTGTTCGTCTGAACTTTTCACATCAGAGGAAAGGCCCATGTCTATGTGAGGAAGTGGTCGTGCCAATCCTCACTGAACTTTATCTGCATTATTTTAATTGTGAGCATAGACCATAGAAGCAGAGGACTAACTAAGTTTTGACATCACCCCTTGTGTCGTGGATGCTGATTAAAGGAATGTACAGCCTAATTTCAAACAATCAAGTTTATTTATGAAGCACAATCCAAGCAGTGCAACCTAAAGTGCTTTACACAGATATAAAATCTTACACATTTACAAATATTTAAAAAAATAAGGAAGAAGGAAAATAAATCTTTCAGACTGAATGTCAGAATTATAACTAACTCAATATATAAAACACAGTTATGCACAGCTACAAAGAACGGTTTTCAGACTTGGTAACAACAGCGGGTAACAACAACATAGAGTGGCATACCGAGGGTGTGGTTGATTCTAAAAACCCAAGGGTCACAATCAAATTACAATATAAAAAGGAACACAGGTATCTGATTAAAATATGACAGACGTGAATAAAAGTTTAAAATGTTTACAGGTAAAAAGGTAAGATACTGCTAAAAGAAGAAAATAATTAGACAAAACTAAATTTAGAAAACGTCAATTTATTTAACAAATTAAACAGAAAGAAATGAAGTTTATTCAAAGTTAATAAAATTGTAAAGCTGAATCTAAAAAAGCCTAAATGCTAAAAATGTAAAAATGCCAAATGCCAAAAACAAAAAGGAGCTAGCTGAGGCCGCCGGTGGTGAGCATGCTACTCAGGGAGGTGCCCAGGGGTGCTACACAGAATACTTACCACAGTGGACACAGCAAAAAGACACAGCAAATGAAAAAAGTGCACTAAATCACATGCAAATGTGTGGGACCAATGTGCCTAGCCCAGCCACCTGGGGGCGCCCAGCGTCGCTAAAAGAAAAGGTAAAAATGGTTAAAAACAAATATGACCGGACCCAGTTGGTTTTGACAACCTGTAGCTGCAAATATAAATGTAAATCGAAAGATGTAATTAAACTAAATTAATCAAAGAAACTACAGATTAACAAAGAAAATAAAAAGACAAAAGTATAATAAAAGAACAAACTAAACTAGAACAAAAGCAAATAGCACAAAAAAAAAAAGAAACCAGCAAAGCAAAACAGCAGTAATACAAAGGAAATAACAAAAACAAATAAAACAAATATCGAAACAGCAAAAACAAAACAAAACAGCAGCAGGTTAGCCACCCTTGACGGTTTGGAACCAGCACTCCACAGCAGACTTAAGTAAGTAAGTAATCTTTATCTATATACCACCTTTCACAGACCAGAGTCACAAAGCGGTTTACAATTGTTATTTTTGGGCATTTGTCCTCTCACTCCACACAGAGATGGAGCGGGGTTGCCGAAAAGGTGGAGCATGCCAGACCTATTGCACATGTTTTTAGTGGTAGGGGAAACCGGAGTACCCGGAGGAAACCTACTCAGACACGGGGAGAACATGCAAACTCCACCCTGATCCGACCGGGATTAGAACCCAGGACCCTCTTGCTGAGAGGCAAGAGTGCTAACCACTCAGCCACCGTGCCACCCACTTAATGCTGCCTACCCCCTCCAGTCCAGCAATACAGCAGTAATACCAGACAAATGCAGGAGCTGAGAGACCACAGCTCATGGATCTATTATAATAACTGGATAGGGTATCAACTGTTTGGATCTGAATAACCCATGTGCTCGGGGGATTCTCTCGGTACTGCAGACTAGACCAGATGAAATTCACGTGGGCTACCCAAAAATTTTCCCCATAGAACTCAATATAAATTAAAACAGCGCAACCTCAGCTGACAGAGAACCTACAGCTTTAATAAAGGTCGGATTTTGTGGGGATTTTAGTGTCCCTTGTCATCCTGAACTTTTTTTCTTCTTAAATCCTTCGGTTTTCTTTAAATCCACACTTTAGTGCCACAAACTCTACTCGTCTGGCTCTTGCTCTAACTCCCGCTCTGATGAACTGCTCTGATTGGTCAGAGCGCGGCGTGCACGTGCGTGAGACCCGGTGTAAGACCCACACACGCGTGTTTGGCGCCATGCATCATGGGAGATCATCCACTGCGCAGAACCGGGAGAACCAGACGATGCCCAAATACAGGCGAGTTTACCATGGATCTTTGCAAGTTCCAGGCGACTTCCGCTAATCTTTTCGGCATCCATGCCGTCACAAAGCGCCACTGAGCACAAGCATTCATTTGAATACGGCGCCATCTTGGATCACCGGGGCTTGCCACAGCCGCAGACCACACCAGCAGCACAAAATGGCTGCCCTCCAAATTACCCAGGTGCTTAAAAAGGAGCAGCTAACTAGTGGGTGGAGGGAGAGGTGGAGCTATGGGTGGAGCTACAGGGCACACCAAAGCCCCACTACAATAGCAACCAGACAGGAGTGGTGCTGGTCTTGATTTTGGGGACAGAATATCCATATTCAGATTCAGTTAAAACCATATTGGAAAGACTGTGCAAGACTAACCCAGTGTTCACCAGATAGTACACACCTGAGCTCTTGCCAGCAGATTGGTCTAGGCGTTAAACCCAAAATGAAACAATGAAAAATGGTGAGTGTGATACAAATGGTTACGGAGTAACGGGAGCTAGAGCGAGTTAAAGGTACTCTGTGTAATTTTTACAGTTGCTACGAAATGAAAAACGTTAATTATATTTATCATACCCTAACCCAAAAAATAATTAATCATTAACGCATTTCTGAATTTATAATATCACTCAGAATGCCGCGGATTCATGCGTGTGTGAGATGGCAACAGTGCAGGAAGGCCTACTGGGAATTCAAGTTTTAAAAGAATACGCGCGTGACCCGGGGCTGTTGTTTGCTGTATCAACTGAAGTCCGCCTCCCCGGGCACACCCCGGGGGCAGCTGTGGCCGCTCTGGTGAATGGCGCCGCGGTTAGACCATACAAGCCACAGGACTGTTCTCTGCATGTTGTGTGCTTGTCTTTAAAACCTGTGCGTAACTGCTGTGTACGCAAATACACCGCGGAAGTGTCCGTGTCTCCTCCTGAAACTAAACTAAACTAAACTCGCTAAATTAAAGCTGGGGTACGTAAAATTTTCCCCTTTCATTAACAGCTCATTTTGGCTGTGCCCAAAAGTAAAAGGTTGTGAGCAAAGCTAAAAGTACATTTGGTTTGAATGACAATGTGTCATTACATTTGATAATCTCATTTAACTTCAATTGGAGTGGATTTGAAATAGAATGTTTAAAATGCGATTAATCGTCAGTTAACTCATCATTACTATGCGATTAATCAACTAAAAAATTGTAATCGTTTGACAGCCCTAATTATAATAGATCCATGGTAAAGCACTTCTGTGCAGCGCGTGCTGCTTCACAACGCTGTTTACATTGTGCTGCAGTAGTGGATGGAGAGATCCCGTCATTTCTCAAACTAAAAGATTCTTTCTTTAGTTGTCCAGTGATATACCGGGTGTTGGAGACCACTGTCAAACACAACATATGGCCCTCAAAGGCTTCCGTAGTGTTGGTGGTAGAAGTAGAGTTGCAATGAATGATCTCCATGCTCTCTGGGTAAAAACTACACAGTGTACCTATAAAGCAAAACTTTTTCCACTTCCCTATTGTCCATCGACAGTCTATGCTGCGAGCTAAGTTCAAATAATTTGCATATTGATGTTATTGTTGGAGAGTTAAACCATCAGTTCATGTAAATGCTTTTAACGTTGATGACAGTAGTTGAACTCGTGGACCGCTGACTCAAGTGGAGGGGTTAATGTGAGGCTTCCACTTTACATATTTATGAAGAATAATCAGCCCATTCACACAGATATCCTCTGTTGAAGCGAAAACTAACTGTGGACTGTGAACCATCTGTGCCCGCTGCTAATGCTGTTGTGAAATAGACAAATACAAATGGCGGCAATGTTGAAGCAAAGGATTTGACAGGAATTCTAAGTGCGGAGCTTTCGTGCAGCCACCATTGTTAACGAGGAGTTACACACAGATGGATACAAATTACACGAATTGAAAACACTTCTCTGCTTTTGAAAA